GATTGAAGTAGCAACAGGAGAGAGGGGAGAGAATCAGAGAAGAAGAGGCAGCTGTGCAGCGTAACAACAGAATAACTCCACCTTTGTGTCTTTTTTCATTCTAGATGAAGTCCGGGACAAACTGCGTCCCCTCTCAGCTCAACACGAAACGTGTAATAATTTCTCTGAATGCGGGACGATTCTGTCTTTTTATGGGATGGTTGGCAACTCTACTAACTAACCTTATGAATAAAATAAAGTTCACTATCAGTAACATCACAGCACCGACCCAGCTGTATAGAAACTCCGTCATGCTAGCTAGTACGCAGTAGGAGTTATTGTAACTGACGCAACTGACTGTAAAAAGTCAGCACAACGAAAATAAACCCCACCTCAACTTGGTTTATATCTGACCCAGATAGACTGCAGGTCATAACTTCTTACCTGACGCTCGGGTCTCTCTTCCTCCTGCCTCCCCTTTCTCTCATCCACCTGCTGGCCTCCACCACTTGCTAATGTCACTGAATCTGTGGAAGCTCCGCGATAGCCACTACCAAACAACTGAGTTATTTTTACACACCGGCCAGCATCTGGCCAATCCACCACCTTTCATTGTTTACATTGTTACAAAATTTTTTTTTAAAAATCATCGGGCCACCAAGCAAATGCCCGATGGCCAGTCCAGCTATGGTCGTGCCATCAGTTAACCATTGTGCCTAGGGTTGCCGACCCCTGCTCTAGACACTCACACCATTAGAGACCAGGTTTGGCTTAAACTAAATATTTGTTTAGTTTAAGATCCCCAGCTCTGTCTGTCTTGGTCGTTGTGTCCTTGGGCAAGACACTTCACCTACCGCCTACTGGTGTTGGCCAGAGGGGCCGATGGCCGAGGAGTACAAATACCTGTGAACCATCTTTGACAACCTCCTGAAATTCTCTGCCAACACAGAGGAGATTCTCAGGAGGTGCCACCAACGGCTATACGGAAACTCAACTCCTTTGGAGTCAGCACACCCATCATGATGACTTTTTACTATGCCTTCCTGGAAAGCATCATGACCTTCTTCATTACCTGCTGGTTCCACTCCCTCAGAACTCTGGCACAGGTTTTCAGCCAACAGGCCCTTAGACAGGCAGCCAAAATCATCATCGACCCCTCTCACATTCTTCACTCTGCATTTCAATGGCTCCCCTCCGGGCGATGCCTCCGCTGCATTTCCTGCAGGACTGAGAGGAGGAGAGCTACCTTTGTCCCCAAAGCCACTCTTTGCTTTTTAACTCCAGCAGATAAGACCATTTCCCACACCAGAAACATAAACTACCCCACACTCTTTTTATACTACCGACACTTTATTCACTCTTAGTCACTCACAGTTATTTATTCACCTTTCAGTCACTTTAGTTTTAAACTGTGTAATTTTAAAACTGTGTATACTGTATATTCTGTGTATTTATTATCTCACTCTTATTGCCTGTTCTTATTGTTCTTATCTTCAACGTTATGCTGCTCTGTCGTGTGTTAATTGCCCCTTGGGGATAAATAAAGTCTTTCTGATTCTGATTCTGTCAGTCTGCCCCAGGGCAGCTGTGGCTACAACTGTAGCTGCCTCCACCAGTGTATGAATATGTGAGTGAATGAATAGTGGAATTGTAAAGCGCTTTGAGGGTCTCGAAAAGTGCTATATAAATGCAATCCATTATTATTATTATTATTGTCCTTACAGAACGATGTTTGGTATTTTGTAATGGTCAAGATGAAGGCCACAAGCCGAAACACGCTGTTCTGCTAATAACGTTGTTTCCTAGTCTTTCAAGTGTTGCTGGAGTAATCACCTGACCAGATCCTTACAGAACAACACACAAAAAAAATGTCCCTTAACTTAACATTTTTGCTGTGTTCTGTGGATAAGCAAAAAAATATTTGCCTGGTTACCAGTTAAATTATCCGTTGTTCCTATGTGCAAGAAAACCCATCTGCTCAACAGTAACCCAAAACCCCCAGCCTTAGTATTTCTCAGCCTAGCCAATAATGTTCATTAGCTCTTCCAGATAAAAACAAAGACTTTCCTGTTATCTGCTTTTGCGTTTTGGTGCTTTTGACACATTATAGAATCCAAAAGTGAATCTGCATAACAATAGAGATAGGCTTGACTTCATAAACCTTAGAATGCATATCTGTTTATTCTGTCTAATTGAGAGACGATATTTAGAAAATGGACTTTTAATTAAACACTAAATTGCTACCATCTGAAGTACAGTGCAATGAACCTGCTGTCATCTCTTCATTAATCAGGACCAAGATGTTCTGCTCTCAGAATGCACCTTGTTAATTTTCCAAGCGCCAACAAATTACAGTCCTCTGTGTTACTCATTCATCCTTGTGAGTTATCTCAAATGAGTTGCTTTTCTTCTTGGTTTGGCTTTATCACTGATTTACACATGAGAGCTCACAAACTCTTTGCTAGTGCCATACATTCAGCAGCACTGGGAGAACAGCACAAAGGATGATCAATAGTCACATGGCTGGCTGCTTTCACACTCTATTTGGGGACCCGAGTGTGTGGCATTTATTTTTGTTCTCTCAGATGTCTTACTTTGATCTAAAACGGTTCATTTATTTTCAGGTGAAGTGCAATAGTAATAAAGTGCTGATGAGTGAAAAAGAATTAGGTCCTTTTGATGTGAAACAAGAGATTTCTCTATGTTATTTTTGAAAAAAAATCAGGGTTCACAAATGTCCCTTCACTCTTGAAGACAGCTATGTGATTTCATACAAAGTACCTTCATATGACTGAATGTTTTTGTTACATTTTAGATTTTTATTTCCAGCTCTTCCTGTTTCACTTGAGGAGAAAAACAGACTACTAGGAATATCAATTTAGTGACACCATAGGCTCCACTTTTTGCAGTAATTTTCACTGCAGTATTAATATTTGAACACAATGAAATGGAAAATAAGCTTTAAATGTAAATACATACCTATCTTAATCATTTGTAAGAGGACCCTGGAATGTACTTCATACCTTCCTTGGTCACTGCTAACTTCTTGGATTTAAATATATTACCTCCTCCTGCTGGAAGTGCAACTTCTGCATGTATATTCATTTCAAGCTTTGGAAAGGCAAAGTGTGACATGTACACATTGAAGTGGCGTGTCTGATACACTCTTTGCCATGATATTGGGTTGTTTGTTCTGTTTCCCTCCCCACAAGAATTATTAAATAAAGAACTAAAAAAACTGAGCCATGTTGGCCATTATTAAACTATGATTCCTCTCTCTGCAAATAACATTTTCAATTATCATTCCTAGTGCTATTAGCAAAGTCATACACCATTTCAGGTCACTGAATGATAGTTTTAAATTAGCCTCAAATCATTTATATGAAAGAGATTTGACTTGAGGTTCCAGAATTTTTAAGTTTGTGACTCCATCAAAAAGGGCCAGTGCCTGGGCCTCTATTTATACACACTTATGTATGACAGCCTCTCAGTTTGAACTCATCAACCCATGCATGGGAACTAATGAGCTGAACTAGTGTGTCCAACTTGTGGGTTTGTCCAAAGCCAAATATGAAAAGCTTTCCTAATATTTGGATTAAAGGCTATATTGCATTTTTCAGATTTTTTTTTTTTTTTTTTTTTTTTTTTTTTTAATGAAACAGTTCATAGATTTTTTTAATGCCTCTTAAAGTCAGTTTTCCCTTTTTGGTTGACCTACTTATGATTCATGTCGTCACTACTTGGAATTGTTAGACAGCTTGCCTATGGATTTTGCTTATTGCTTCCACTTGCACTTGTGCTACAACCAGCTGATTCCAGGTTATGTGCTGGAGGAGGAAAATAGTGGCGTAGTCTGCACCCTGGATATGACAATTGCTTTTATTTTTACTGGACGAGAGCATGGTGGTTAAGTGGAAACTGCATCCATGACAGAAATAGCTGCATTATGCTGCAACCCCCCCCGCCCCCCCCAAAAAAAAACAAACAACAAAAACCCGTTAGCTTTGCAAGCATCTGCATAGAAAGCATGCCAACGCTAGCCAAAGTGATGTTAAAGCTGAGCCCAGCCCAGCAAGCAGACCCTGAACTTCAGCTTGTAAAGTTCAGGGTCTGGTTGTTGGACTGTTTCTACCTGTTCATGTTTCTAAAGTAATATGACATTGGTGATCACTTTAAAGTTTCTTTTTGGTGGTATTGATCTTTCGTTTGTGCTGTTGTCTTTTTTTTATTATCCCTAAATACTAAAGGAAAGATCATATGTGTGTCCACAGGATAGGGATTTGTGTTGGTGTATGAGAATGCAGCCTATGGGTTTTATATTGTTAAATGGTAAATATAAGACAATGTGTTTCATGTCAAGACAATCATTTACTAAATGTAACAAATTATTTTTGCCTGCAGTAATTAAGTATGTAATTAAGTGTACTTTATTACAGAAAAATGTGTAATATGTTTCTTTGAGTAATGACCCCAACATCAATCACAGCAAAGAGGGGAAATACTTCCAACATTCACAAACATTTGACCACACAGCACACAAATAATTTGGATCAATGTAATACCTTTGATATGTTGGCTTGTGATGATGGTGACTCTCAAGGCAGAGTCAATGAGAACCCAATGAGAATCAATAAGGAACTGAATCAGTGATGCAATCGGAATCGTTAAATTCTTATCAGTTACCATCCCCAGGCAAACAGATAATCATCAGTTGTTCTCTTGGGAAGAGCTGCTGAACAACTTGTTAAAGCAAATATTTCATCACCCATCAATGTGCCAAAAACACAAAACATTTAGGCATGTTGATATGGTCAAGATGACCAAAGATGAAGCTCAAAAAGAGCTTTAGGATGGGGAAGAAAAAAAGAAAACACCTATGAGCCGCAGTTCTCTGGGTAAAAATATGTTGCCCCTGCTGCTTCAGGTTGATAGGAATATAACAGTGACTAAAATAACCACTCATTACAGTGAAGGTATGCGGAGGAGCATCTGCTGTTTTAGCCCATCTGGCTAAAACAGTTTTAGCTCATCTGGCTAAAACAGCAGAAGACCGCAAAAAGGCGCAACTCATGTCTGCTAAGAACAGGAAACTGATGTTACAATTTACACAGCTCAACAAATTTTGACAATAGAAGATTGTAAAAATGATTCCTGATCTAATATGTCTCAATTTCTTATCCAACATTTAGATGGTAGGGTCAAAATTTGACACTTTGAGCCCCTTAGCACCAAACAAGTGTCTTTTAGTGCTACAGCCTACCCGAGTATTGCTGCTCATAGTGTGTTTGTCTGCCCAATGTTTAATTGAATGAGAATATAAAAATGGGAAAAGATTTTGTATAATATGTTAATTTTATTACACATATAGAATAGCAACACCTTTTAAGGACAACTTAGAGTAGGTATTTCAGTCCATCTATAGTGTTTCATATGTTGTCTTTTATATTATTACTGAATCATTAAAGTACAAAGTCCACTTCATTATGATAAGCATTCTATTGTAGCTACATAAAAAAAAGAGCTTGGTGCATTACATAAATTATTGTTTATTTTTTCTCTTCTTCCTTCTCTTCTTTGGTGTCTTCATCTTTTCTTTCTTCATCTCCTCCTTCATCTGTTTTTTCCTCTTCCTGCTTTTCTTCATCTTCTTTTATCATCTCAATCTTTTCCTCTTCTTCCTTTTCCCCTTCTTCTACTTTTTCCCCTTCTTCCTTTTTCTCTTCTTCTACCTTTTCCTCTTCCCTTTTCTCCCCACCCCCCTCTTTCTCTTCCTTTTTATCTTCTCCTTCTTCCTCATCTTCTTCTACCTCCTCTCCAGTTAAGCGCTCAAGATCTATAATACGATGTTTTAGAGTTTTGTCTGCATTTTCGTTATTTCGTAAGATCTTCTTCAGCTTGACTTGCATCAGCTCCATGGTACCATACAATTTGTTTACCTTCTCCTCCAGCTCTTTTTGCTCAGGTTTGATATTAGCTGGATCCAAGTCTATAAGACCATCTTTCATCAGGATCTGCCGACCCTTATCCTCAAGCATGCCTTTGGCATCTGGATACTCTGACAATGATTCCATCAGGTCATCCTTGGAAAGGCAGAAGAGCTCTGAGTATCCAATGCTGCGAATGTTGGCGGTCCGCCTGTTACCCGCTTTGCTACCTTTAATATTAAGAATACTAATCTCACCAAAATAGCTGCCGCTTCCGAGTACAACAAATTGTGTCACACCATCATCGGCAACGACTGCCAGTTTTCCATCTTTGATAATATACATCTCACGACCAATGTCGCCTTTCTTACAGATGTAATCTCCAGGGCTGAACACCTGTGGCCGGAGTTTGAGCACCAGCTCAATCAGCAGGCCTGCCTCACAGTCTGCAAAAATCCGAACTTTCTTTAGCGTCTCCATGTGGACTTGGATGGCTATTTCTGCTTTTAGCTTGTCTGGGAGATATCTCAGCACTTCTCTTTCATCCTGTGCCTTGCCATTATTCCACAGATAGTCAAACCACTTGATGACTCGCAACTCTAGGTCCTTACTAACCTTTCGAACCTGCAAATGAAAAGAAAAGAAGAGGATTAAACTAATATTTAAAGACTAGATTATTTTACTACGTCTTTTGATCTAGACTTTTTTGATCAATGTTTATTTACCTGCATGTACTGCTTAATGTTGTCAATGCGGGACTGGAACTGGGCTTGGGCTGCATTCATGTTGGAGATCATGGTGGCAATGTTTCCCACAATGGTGGCAAAGATTAGGACTCCAACTAAAAAGTCCACAACATGGAAGAGAAATTCTGAGTCCAAAGCTGGTGGTGGGGTTTCTCCAATAGTTGTCAGAGTCAGTGTGGACCAGTACAGGCTGAAAGCATACTTCCTCATGGGCTGTCCAAACTCAGGCTCCTCAGGATCATCCAGAGCAGGGTAAACCCAGTCATCAGCACCAAATCCAATAGATTTGGAAAAAGAGAAATACCAGCAGGCATTCCAGTGGATGATAATAAGGATGTACATGATAAGGTTTGCAATACGGAAGATGTTGGGGTAGTTGGTTTTAGTCTCTGTTTTGGTAAAGAACTCCATCATGCGCCCAATCCTCAGAAGCTTGTTTATGCGGATCTCTGGGTAGTCGATGCCAAGGACGAAGTAGAAGATGTCAGTGGGCAGCATGGAGAGAACATCGAGACGAAACTGAAAGCTGCTGATGTATCGATCCAAAAGCAGCTTCTTATCTTTCACTAGTAGGCCTTGTTCAAGGTAACCTGCAGTTGAAAGACATAGTGTTTACCATTTACAGGGACATTGTGTTTTTAAATACTATATGGAATTGAATGTTCCCTTCTACTGCAACAATCACCTTTTAATTGCACACAGGATCACCGTTCAAACTGTAATTATTAGCAGCTTTAAGATTTGTAGTTGGTGGTGTAAATAATGCTCTAGATATCTTATAGTAAAGCAGTTTCAACAAGTCTTTTTTTTTCTGTTGATCAGAGTACAAAAATTATATCCAGAAAGGGAATTCATGTTAGCAAGGGATGTTTTCTAACATGAATTCAGCAGTACAAATTTCCATTTTGAGTCTTGCTGGATGATAGTTGATTGCTGTGCTGCAGTAGAGAGACAGAACCACACCATCACTTACATATAACATGACCAGGAGAAACGATGACATCACTGGCCACTCATTTCATCTGTGTAAGTCTAATTAGTGCTTTGAGGAAAACTATATCACATTTTGAAAATATTTCTGCAGAATGGTAAGGTTAGTCTTTCACCTGTTCTGGCCCTGAAGAACATATCAGCCAGGTAGATAAGGTCTGAGGTGTAGTCCAGAATAACCCAGTAAATTATGTAGTCATGCTGCAACTCCTCAAAGCAAGCCCTGTTTGCAAGAGAAGACAACCACCAGCAGTGAGGGTGGTTTGTAAATTAACAATGTTGAATATCTCAGGACTATGTCCTGTTGTGCTACTGTCGCACCCCATTAACCCAGTAATCTGTACTAACAGAAAAAAAGACAATACAATGTTAAAAAACACAACTTCTCACTTTAAAAAACAAAAACAAACTATTTCTGTGCATGAAAGCAAACTGTAGCTAAAAGTAGTTTTAATGAAGTAGGATATTAAAAACAAACAACCAAATGAAATCATGTAAATATTTGACCTTTAGTGATGGAAGAATGACTGATTTATCAAGGTCACCTGGCTATGATCATGGTCCAATTATACATCACTGGTAGCGTAATGATAAACAGCCAGTTGTAATACAAATTTCCAGCAGGATTAATGACAAATATTTCTGCTGGCCTGTGGAGGAAAGAATGAAAGTGTAAAATAAATACTCAAAATCATACAACACATAAATTTATTTTGAAGTTTCTGTAAATTATGTACTTACTTATCTTTGTCCTTGCTCTTGTCTTTCTCTTTTTGTTTTTCTTTTTCTTTCTCCTTTTCTTTTTCTTTTTCTTTTTCTTTCTCCTTTTCTTTTTCTTTTTCTTTTTCTTCCTCATCCTTCTTCTCCTTCTCCTTTTTTCTGTAATGTGCAATAATAAATTAGAGAATACTGAGCACCGGTTATCCTTAATAACATAGTAACATTTCCTAAAAGGTGAGGAGATAAAAATCAATACTCTTTCTTTTCCTTCTTTTCCTTCTTCTCCTTTTTCTTTTTTTTCTTTTTCTCTCTGAAAAAAACGATTAATGCAACATGTTTAACGTGATTACAGGAATCTAAGCCTTTACTTTTTTCATGACTCCAAATTGTACTTACTCTTCATTGTTGTTGTTATTGTTCGTGTTGCCTATATGAAGAGGCGTTGATTGAGGTGAACTTCTGAAACAAACACAGCACATTTTATTAACTGACAAATCTTTGCTTTTTTGTCATTATTATTCTTTGTGCATTTATATTTAAGTTTTGCTCACATGTCATCGTCACTGTCACTGGTAAAGTGAGGTGGAACATAAGGTGGCGAGGTGAGCAAGGCCTGGGTGGTAGTGGCCATTGCAGCAGAACTGTAGTATACTCTGCAGCAATAAAACATTTTTCAGGATGACAACTTCAGACTAGAATTTAAGTACTGTTGGGTTCTAAATTGGTTTACACATATTTTAAACTGAAACAGGACGTATTTTGGCAGTTGTTTGATCACCTAGCTTTAAAAGAAGAAAACTGAAAAATATATCTGCTTTTTGATTTACCATAGGAACTTTTTGATTTGATTTGATTTGATGTTTTCTTTTTACAAACAAGAGCAACCCATGGAAGCAGAAATGTGTTGTGCTGTCAACACTTGTTTACTGAGACAACAAATAAACATATAAATGATTAATGCCTGAATAAATAAATAACTAAATAAATACAATTCTTACATATGTAAAAAAATATATATTTATAAATATATAAAGTTTAATTAAGTTTTATTTATATAGCACCAAATCACAACAACAACAGTTGCCTCGAGGTCTAAATACATAAATAAATACACACACACACACACACACACACACACACACACACACACACA